GCAGCTTCTCCTGCCCCAGAATGTTCTGCAGTTCTTCAGGCTGTGTCAGCAGAGCATGGTGAGTGCCCCTGGGTGCAGAGCCTGTCAGACGTGTGTGCCTGCAAGGTGCCCAGGGTGTGTGCCTGGAGGTGGGACCAGGTGTTTGTCAAAGGGTTTCTTGCCTCCCTGTCTCCCACTCCCCCCACCCCACCCCACTCTCCCAAGTTGAGGGTGGGCGGGGCTTTCCCGGGTCCTGGCTGGGGCGCAGACATTCCTGACCCTCATGTCTCCTTCCTCTGCAGGACCCCACTGCGTTCCCTGTGCCCACCTTCCAGGACCTGGCGGGTTTCTGGGACCTCCTGCAGCTCTCTATCGAGGATGTGACCCTCAAGTTCCTGGAGCTACAGCAACTCAAGGCCAACAGCTGGAAACTCCTGGAGCCTAAGGTGGGGGCAGGTTCCTTGAAGCCAAGAGTCAGACCCTGGAAAATGCCCTTCGCCATGGAGGCATGTTGGGGGTGGGGGTAGGGGGCCAGGAGGAGACCTGGGGGCAGCAAAGGCAGCCCTGGACAGGTGATGGTGACCACCTTCTTCCAAAATGACCGCCCTGGTCACTGCTGCCTGCTTGGCCCTAGTGCTCATCGCTGCCGCAGCTGCCAGAACCCGAGGGGGCAGCAGCCACCCTGGGCCAGCTGCAGTTTGAGGGCGCAGACCTAGAGCTTCCGAAGGGCGGGCTGCCCTCAGCTCGGACCTACAGGGGCCCCTCAGCCGTCATCCCACACTAGACCTTGTCCTGATGGGCCCGAAGCCCGGTGTGTGAGCGCCCTCCACAGCCCCCATTGCCTTGCCTGCATCCCTCCGGACCTGCAGTGAAGCAAACACTGATTCGGAACCGCGCCACCCAGGGGCGTTGGAATCAATATTTCTTTAAAAAGAAAAATGTGCGTTTTGACCTTGTGGGAACAGGTACACGCGGGGCTTGGGGTGCAGGCACAGAGAGCAGCGTCTAACGGTTACTAACCGCTCCCAGCTGGCCGAGCCCCGGGGGAGGAGGGTTCCTCCCGGGAGCGGAGGGGCGGGAACTGGAGAGCCCGGTGGGACCCCCAGTGGGGCCCCGCCC